AGAGAGAGAATCCCAAGCAGGCTCCCCATTGTCAGTGCAGAGCCTGATGCGGGGCTTTATCTCACAAACTGCGAGATCATGACCTGAACTGAAATCAAGAGTCAGATGCTTCAATGACTGAGCCACCCAGGCGTCCATCCCCATGCTTTCATTTTTTTAAGTCTCATCAAATATTTTTATTTCAAGTGGCCCAAAAGGAACTTAAAACACTTTATACATGTTTAGGATTAAAAAAAATACTTTCTCTTTCCTCCTTATGCATCATGTTGCCACATGAGTGATGTTTCTGATGCCTATTCAGCTAAACCTCAACAAAAAAAGCCCTGTACATTCTGGCCACGAGGAAGGTGCTGCACTCAGTACTGTCTCTTCCTGGGAAGAATGGTCAACCTCTGTAAAGCCGCAGATCACTCTACACACAGCTCAACATTTCCCCCTTTCTCCTTCTCAGGGACGTTTGCTGACCTCTCCAAATGATCTGATCCTACTATGCTCCTTGTGTATACATGTAAGCCTAACAAACTAATGGGCTGACCCTGAAATAAAAGACTTAATGATAAAATTTCTAGCACAAATGCAGCACCAGGCAATCATAGGCAGCCAGAGGAGTTTCCTGCTCCCTGGAACACCAGCACATAAAAAAAGATGACACAGACATAGACTGGCAGTCTCCTCTCCCACGTGTGGGTAGAATGAGGGGCTGGGACCTCGGCACCCACCTGCTTGTGGAGCTGCCCCCCATGCGCAGGCTGCAGCCGCGATCCGTGGTCACCCATCTGCACAGGGGTGTGTGGAGAATGCTCTCCCATCGAAAAGCCGCAGCCTGGACCATTGTCGTCCCGGTCTGGGCTGTCCCCCTTCGGGTCTCCCTGCTCTCCAAGCTCACCGAGCCTGGGGAGGGTCTCTGGATGCTCACTCTGAAAACAGCAGGAGACAATAATCACAGCTCCACCCAAATCCTTTGCTGTGCAGCCTGGTTTTTATTGTTTGAGGATAATTCTCCACTTTATGGCTTATCAAGTCTTGACTTCTTAGCCTTTTCCCAAATGTGCTCATTTGGCCCATTTCATGAACTCACTGGCCACCTTCTTCATTTATTTATTTATTTTTTAAATGTTTATGTATTTATTTTTGAGGGGGGGTGGGGCAGAGAGAGAGGGAGACAGAGAATCCCTAATAGGCTGTTAGCACAGAGCCGGATGCAGGGCTCAAACCACAAACCATGAGATCATGACCTGGGCTGGATGGTCAACTGAGCCACCCGGGTGCCCCAACCCTCTTCCTTTGAACAGCAAACAACGGGTGCCCAATTGGTCAGCAAAGATTGGAAATTTTACTCTAAGTTATCCTGGCAATGACAAATTCTATGATTTATAAATGATTATTCATTAAAGTTATGGTTTTACAAACTAGAGGAGGAACTCCAAAGTTATGGTTTTACAAACTGATCAGAAGGAGACTTTACAACTACTTCTAGGTTTTGCTTAATGATGGTCTTCTCGGTCATGGCTCTTTGGAAGCAGGTTGAATTGATTTTGGAAGACTTTCTTCCCTCCTGGAGGAGAGAGAATCCAAGTATCTTCCCCTTCCTAGGATGACTGCAAACTATATACACTGCTCACTAAAGTAAAAGCAGACAAAAAGTTCCTGGGAGTCTAAAGGGAACCGACACTTATGATGCCTTCAAGCCCCTGACACAGGAGTCATGGGTGCGCATGCTCAGAACCTCAGTGGTCCCAGCCCTGCACGCATCAGAAGGCAAGGCTGGAAGGAGCCTGCAGAGCTCGAGGTCACACTGGCTTAATCAATAAGATCAATCAGAAAGGAAGTGGCTCTGTCCTTGTCCTGGGATGAATCTGGGAATATGGAGGCACAGGAGGGAACAGGCACGTGCCCAGATTCTGAGGGCAGCAAAAATCTGGCCCATCTGGAGCTTATAAAACGGCATTGGCAGGACGGGCTCTAGCATTTAGGAACAAAAACCAAAATGGAAAGAAGAGAGAAAGATTTAGAGCTAGGTTGGACAAACCAGCAAGGCGGAACGAGAGATGGGAAGGGACTCCAGGTGACAATGTTCATGAATCCATAGATGAGCAGCAAAAGAAATGGCAGCAAAACTGTGCTGCACGATGGAGCCATAGACCAGGACTCTGAAAACAAGGTCAAGGGGCGCCTGGGTGGCTCAGTTGGTTAAGCGTCCGACTTCCGCTCAGGTCATGATCTCGCGGTTTGTGAGTTTGAGCCCCGCATCAGGCTCTATGCTGACAGCTCAGAGCCTGGAGCCGCCTTCGGATTCTGTGTCTCCCTCTCTCTGCCCTTCCCCACTCATGCTGTCTCTATTTTATTAAAAAAAAAAACAACAAAAAAACAAAAACGAGGTCAAAGGACAGCATGGGATTCTTGGTCTAACGTATAACTCGACAACCTGTTGCATTTCCATGGCCTGCATTGGACTTGATAAAATAACGTGAAATGGCAGAGTGTGACTCTGTATGTAGAAGGCAGAGGGACAGCAGTGCCTGGGCGGCAAGAACAAAACGGACGCAAATAAAACGAACGCTCTGGGCAGAGGTACCTCCGTGAAATCCTCGCCTTCCTCCTCCATCTGTTTCCCTTGCCGCCAGAGCTTCAGCAGCCACCTGAGTTTGACGTAGAAAAGGAAAATGTTCTGCTTCAAGGAACGGAGCTCCTGCTGCATCAGATTTCTCTCATCACTCCAGGTTCGCTCATGGAGGGTGTTTTGCAAAGCCAGGCTGTGCATTTCTAGCTCTTTCCACCTCAAGGCGTAGAGGTGCTCCTCCTCCATCTTGAATGGAAAAAAGGAGAGAGTGTGACAGTGGCTCTTCCCACCTGCCACCCGAGCCAAACCAAAAGTCTTTGCAAACTGCCGTTCAATCCTTACCATGTTGCACCTGGGACGTGAAACACGGAAACTCCTTGAGACGTGTACTAGTTATAAAAACCTCAAGGGTTTTCCGATTCACAAGCAAACCCTATATTTCAAAGTAAGGGGTTATAATCAATTTTCATTGTCAAGTCTCTCGGGGTGTTTTTAGTGGTCTCTAAACTTCAGGGAAATGGCTTTTCGGATGTACTACCTGCAGCTGATTTCCATGCAGATTCCATGTGCCCTCTGGATGTGGGCTTGCACACAAAGGCACGCTGGGATTGTAAAGGGGGAGTAGGTGGAGATCCTTCCCCTTGGCTTCCTGAGCCTTCTGGCCTGCACACCCCCAGCAGAAGGTGGAGACCGCCAAGCTGACGGAAAGGCCCACAGAGAGCAGGTGGGCGAGGCAGGTCGGGGAGCAGGGATTTCTCTAGATGTGAGGTCCTCTGCTGCATACAGTGGTGGGCAAACAAGAATCTGACAACCTGCTGCCACACTTAGGACTTCACGTTCCTATCAGTTATGAGTGATCCTTAGGGAAAGAAAGCATTGCTGAAAAGGAAGTGTTTCCCCTTGCTATGCTAAGTTCCTGCTTTTCAGCATGGGTACAGGCACGTTACAAGCAATAAACCATCATTATGTCGATAATGACTAAGCCAAGGGGAGTGAATAAAATCTTATTGCACAGATTGGGGCACAAGAATAATATCAATAGTAGCTAAAGTGATAGACGGGATGAAAGCTTTCTGTTCCACTGTCCGAAAAACAAGCGTTAGGATGCCAGCCTTGTTTTGAGCTGTCCTCTCCCGCTTTAACACGCCCCCTGGGCCAAAGATCAAGGCAGTGAGTTTTGTTTTGTCTCACTTTCCTAAAGTGCTAGATTCGTGCACAGAAACCATGGGGATGCGACAACGGCTGCCTGAGGAACACGCCTGTGTGTCCCATGTGCTTAAAGCCACTGAAGAGAAGCAGCTCTGGGAAGGTCCTGGGTCTGCGCACAGACTTGCGTGGCCAGTCGTTGTACCGGATTTTTTTTTGCACTCAAGCTGTGATAACACAAAATAGTGGTAATTTAATTCACCACCTTGGCAGCCTCAGAGTCCTCCCAAGGGTTCTCTGCCCCGTGGGCACAAGAGCAGGACAGAGCGGGGAGAGGGGCAGCCTCACACACTGGACATTCACCGTTTGCAGTGTTATCTCAGGCCATCGACCGACTGGGGAGGCTTCAGCACCCTGGGCCGCAAAGCGAAGCTAACTCGGGATGTGCAGAGCACCTAGCTCAGGGCAGGTACGCCAGAGGTTCTAGAGTGTTAGTCAATGGAGGCCGGTGAGGGCG